CGAGCTTCTGAAGGGGGCGTGTGTGCAAGGGAGGTCATCCGAGGCAGGGTCCCGGCGCCAGGCCGCTCCTGTCACTGCGAGCCTCGCCCCCTCCCCGGGGCCTTCGTCGGGTGCATTGTTTGCAGGGTACTAGGCGGGTGGTGGCCCTTCGGGGACGGTCGTGGGCCCGTTTTTAAGAAGCTGTTCCTACCCATCTGGATGCTGGCGGAGGGGGGGGGGTGTCATATCCCGGAGGCCCCTTTGTTAGGCTTCCCCGCCACCTCCCCTCCTGCTGCCGCTGGAGCTGGTGTCTGGGGTCCCCTGAGTGCACCCTAGTTTTAAGGACATACCTGCCTCTACTGACAGGAGTCAAATGACACGTGCTGGAACCCGCACATTTTCTTTGAAACAACAACTTGTTTCATTGAAAAATGAATGATTGTACACTATCATGAATGAAGTTATGCGACACTGTGTATTTGCATAAAGCCTCTAGTATTTTGCACCATTTGAGAGATGGGTTTGCCAGTTTTTCAGGGCTGCTTGGGTGGGTCAGAGAGACAACCTCCACCTCCTTGTGTTTTATGTTTGATGTTTAAGCCTCTGTTTTGATTACTGAAGTAATGCTTTCATGAATGGAACCCATTTCGTGGGATTAATATGCAGTTTACCTCTGTGTGTGTGTGATTGGTGCTTATCAGAAGAAATAAGTATACCATGGGAAGAATTTGGAGATTAGAAGGCTGAGAAAAAAGTTAATTAGGGTATATATTTGTTTCACTAAATGAGAAAAAAGTCAGCAAAAATGGTAGGCAGTCAATAGAAACCCTTTCTGTAAATTTAGTTGAGGAAATCGAAATGGCATCGCAGTGATGAGTCCCGTAAGCCTAATGTTCAAGTAATTTTAGGCAAAGGCATCGGAGGACTCTTCCAGAACCGTAGCCTGACCGTTGGGTTTGGTAAATTGATCATATTTGTGGTGGGCATTTGGCAGAAGTACAGTGTAACTGAAGGCAGATGAGACATGGTGATTGCTCTGGTGTGGGGTGTGTGGTGGCCATAGTTGGGGGGCACTGAGCTGTTGAGAGAACAAACTTCAGGTGGCTCTCTGGGGTCTGATTTCTATCCAGTTGGACTTTGGAGATCCCCACATCGCTTCTCTCCACAGTGCCAGATTCTCCTTCCCTTTTCAAAAGTCCTGCGCAGTCTTCCAAGACCTTTCCCCTGAAGCTGACTGCTCTAAGCTCTGTCACTTTCTGATCTGTGCTCCTCTGTCCCGTTCCAGAGCATGATGACCGCGTTAGTGTCCCCCGAAGAAGGAAAGGCCGGGGTCCTTTCCGGTGGCAGGGGAACCGTAGTCGGTCTGGACGAGGCGGTTCTGGTATTCGTTCTGCCCGCCTTGAGGAAGATGATGGCGATGTGGCAATGACTGATGCTCAGGATGGTCCCCGAGTACGATAGTACGTAAGCAGGTGGTCTGGTGGGAGGGCAGCAGCTCCCGGAGGGTGCAGCTCTCCAACTGGCCCCAGCAGGATCAGCTCTTGAGACTGTGTGTGGAGGTCTCTAAAGAGCCGTGTCCACACTCAGGGACTTCCTTCTCTCTCCTTCCTCCCAGCAATCCCTATGTGACCCGACCCAACCGTCGTGTTAATAACTGGCATGAGCGAGACAGAATCCACGTCACTGTGCGGCGAGACCGAGCTCCTCCTGAGAGGGGGGTGGCCGGCCCCAGCCAGGATGGGGCCGTGAAGAACTGGTTCAAGATTACAGTGAGTGCCTGGGATGATGGTCTAGACGAGACAGGACTGCTCTCTGGGAGATGGGGTTACTGTTTATTCCACAGTCAGCCTTTGCGGCTGCTTACAATCAGGTATCTATTCTTACCCCTAAGAATCAGTGTCTTAGAACACAGGAGGCCTGCTAGGGGACAGGCCCACTGGGGCATCTTAAGGGAAACCTGGCAGCCGTGATTGGAAGCTGAGGAGACTCCAAGATGGCTCTGTTGCCTCCAGCCCAGGTGGGAGGGGTGTCCCTGGTGTTCTTGGAGACAGGTGACGCCTACATGATGTCTTGGAGCTTTTAGCGTCAAACATAATGGCCAAGGGAAGGGGACAGTGGCAGCTGAAGCTGAGTGGAGGGGCTGTGGTGGGGCCTTTGCCTTCTTCCCTGGTATTTTTTTCTCTCTTGTTCTTTTCTCTTTCCTCCTCCTATTGTGGAATGAAAAGGGTCAGTAGAAAGTATGGAGGTTAAGGGGTTCATGTTTGGCTTCTTTCGACAGCGCTTGTCTAATTGTCCCTTTAGATCTTTGAAGCGTGGCAGGAGATCTAGCGAGGGCTGTGACCGTTCTGCCCTTTAGCTGTGCCTCACCATCCTCTCCTCTCTCTCCACATCCAGATCCCTTTTGGTAGGAAGTATGACAAGACATGGCTGCTGAGCTCCATTCAGAACAAGTGCAGCGTCCCCTTCACACCCATCGAGGTAAGCTGAGGCCTCCGTGCCTGGCTGCCTGGGCACCGGGGGGAAGGCGGAGGGGCCAGCTGGCCACGGGGCTCCGAGCTCCCAGGGCTAAGTTCTTGCTCCCGTGCCTCGCAGTTCCACTACGAGAACATGCGGGCCCAGTTCTTCGTGCAGGACTCCAGCACCGCCTCTGCCCTAAAGGCTGTCAACTATAAGATTATGGATCGGGAGAACCGGCGGGTATGTGGAGGGACGTGGCGGGGTGGGGGCGCATGAGGGCTGGCGGTTGGCACTGGGCTCGGGGCTCAGCCTGCCCTTTGTGTCTTGCCTGCAGATCTCCATCATCATCAACCCTTCAGCCCCGCCCCAGACGGTGCTGAATGAGCTGAAGCCGGAACAAGGAGAGCAGCTAAAGGTGAGGCCGTAGCCCAGCATGTGTCTGCCCAGGCCATGACTCGTCCCACTCTGCCCACAGTCAACCCCTGTCCCCTGATCAACTCTCCTCTCCTCTGTAGCTGGTCATGAGCAAAAGATACGACGGCTCTCAGCAAGCCCTGGACCTCAAAGGCCTGCGCACCGACCCAGGTAGGGCTGCCAGCCCTGTTTGTCCACTGTGGAGGCAGGGCAGGCTGGCTCAAGGAGGCAGCTTTGAGAATGGCTAGTGCTAGCCTGGGTTTGCCCTCTCAGGGTAATGTCCCCTTCCGCTTGGTCTCCTGCAGATTTGGTGGCCCAGAACATTGACGTTGTCTTGAACCGCCGAAGCTGCATGGCGGCTTCCCTGCGAATCATTGAAGAGAACATTCCGGAGGTGAGGCCTGGCTCTGGATTTAGCCTGGGGAGGAAGGATGGGGCCAAGGGAGGTCAGGGGCAGCGCTCCCTCACTAAACCACTTTCTCTAAACTCTTCTGTCCTCCCAGCTGCTGTCTTTGAACTTGAGCAATAATCGGCTCTTCCGGCTGGATGACCTATCCAACATAGTGCAGAAGGCTCCCAATCTCAAGATCCTGAACCTTTCTGGGAATGAGGTGGGACCTGGGAGCTGGCTTGAGGGGAGAGGGCAGAAGGGCCTGTTTGGGGGCAGGGAAGCTCCTTGTGGGCGGGCCAGTTCCCTTTCTCAACCTGTGTGCCCCCCACCCACCATCCCCTCCCGGCAGTTGAAGTCAGAGCACGAATTGGACAAGATCAAAGGGCTGAAGCTAGAGGAACTCTGGCTGGACGGCAACCCCCTGTGTAACAACTTCTGTGACCAGTCCACCTACATCAGGTGAGTGTGGCTTCCGCCCGCCCTCCTGGGGACCTTGGGCCCCTGGGAGACTGAGCTTCGCACCCTGAGCAGTGCCCGTTGGCAGCAGACGTGCAGCCCTGAGCTGGAACCACCTGTCCCTTAGGACACCCCCACCTCTTCCCTGTCCCCAACTCCCTGCTCTGCCCTCAGGCCTCCTGTCCTCTCTTCTGTCTGGCTCTGTGGCCTCTTGCCTTCCCTCCTGCACACAGCCCTTTCCAGATGTCCCCGCCCCCTTGACCCAAGATGATGGCACCTCCATCCCTTGCTCAGACCAAGGGTGTCATGTCCACACGCCAGACGTGAGGTTGCCTTGTGCCAAGAGCCTGGTGCCCTTGAGCTGTGAAAGCCCTCTGCACCCGGGGCTTTGCCACTTGTGGCGTGTGCTGGCCCCTCTTGCCTGTATCCCAAGAGGGAGCCCTTCCTCGTGGCCACAGAGCTGAGACTGTTGCCTGGGCTTTCTTGTCTGCCCTGATGAGCCCCACCTCCAGGGGGCCAGTCCGTGCACTCTGTCTCTCTCGGCCAGTGCTGTGAGCTGGGCCCTCCTGCAGAGGAAACCTGGGTTCCCCGAGACCTGTGAGCAGAGCCGGGGTCCCGCCAGCCGGCGAGGGAATCCCAAGGCAGCTGCTGGGCGTGGAGGCCGTGGGGGCCTAAGCTCGCAAGGAGACAGCACTGCCGCTGTGGGGCAGTGCCCCTCTCTCACCTCACACTGCACAGCACCCTGCTTGGCCCCGGAGGAGGGCTGGTTAGCCAGAGACGGGTAAGATTCCTCAGGGAAGGAACAACCTAAGACAGGCACAGCCGCAGAGGGGCCATCAGGAGAGAACTCGGGGGCCAACAGAGGTGAGGCTCAGACCCTCGCCCCCCCCCAACTTTGCAGCCAGTCTGACCCCTCACTCCTTCTGAGGGTGGTCTCCTGCCCCCATGGCTGTTTCGTTTCCCACGCCCACCTCCCAGCGGGACCCAGGTAGCAGGTAGAGACCAGACCAGCAGCAGCTGCCCATGTGCCACAGCCGTGATTCGTTCCCTACGCTCCTTGGGCCTCGGGGGTGTGGGACTGCTGAAGGAAGGGGCTGTGTCAGGGTCCCTCGGCCCTGTCTCCCTCTTGTTTGCTGAGTGCCTCCCTCCCTGTAGTGCCTGCTCTCTGCTCTCTTCCTCTCCTCTCCTCTGCTCTCTCTCCCACTCAGTCTGCCCTGCTTCCAGTCGGCCTTTGTTGCCACCTCCTTTTGTCTTCTTTTCCTCCTGTGACCTCCCCTCTACCCCAGCCCTGCCTTACCTGTCTCCCTGCCCCACATCTTGTACCATCCCTGTGGTGTGTCCTGGTTTTGGCCCAGGCCAGACCTGGCAGAACTGATGGACACCTGGTGAGGCAGCGGCGCCCCTGGGCTCCTACCCCATTTCCCTCCTCCCGGGGCTGCACAGGTGAGTAGGTGGAAGGTAAGGGGGGCAGGCAGGGGGAGGCGGGCCTGGCTTAAAGCCTGGGCTCGGGGAAAACAAATAAATAAATAAATAAATAAATAAATAAAAAGTCTGGGCTCGGGTGCTGTTCCTGCGGCACTCGGGGTCAAGCAGAGAGACAGAGAGTCGGCCTTTAAGGCAGTCCTTTCTGGATGCCCCTGACGGGGCGGGCAGGAGCCCAAGGGCTATTCTCCCTAGGCTCAGAGGCTAGGGTGGTGGCTGAGCCAGCCTGGCCGGGCTGGGCTCTGAAGCCTGGGCGGGGGGGCGAGCGGCCGGACTGGGCTGTCCCTTGGGTGTTGGTATATTTGCTCCGAGAGCAGCCCAGGAGGCACGCTGGCTCTGAAACCTCACTCACTTCTGTCCCATTCTTGACAGCGCCGTTCGAGAGCGATTCCCCAAGTTACTACGCCTGGTAAGTGTGTTTTAAACTCTTGTCTCTCTAGTACAGCCTCTCCCACCGCCAGTATCTGGCTTTTGTGCCCCTTCCTTCACCTGGGGACATGAGCCCTTTTGAGAATCTGGCCAGTCGGTAGAAAGGCGCCTCAGGCTGGCTTTGCCCCATGGGTGCCCCACACCTTTGACACTTGACCTTCGTCTTCCCACCGGTAACTCCCCAACCCATTATGGTTTGGGTTTATGTGGTCAATTTCCACTCCCTCCCCTCCCGTCAGGATGGTCATGAGTTACCGCCACCCATTGCCTTTGATGTTGAACCCCCTACGACGCTACCTCCTTGCAAGGTAAGCAGTATGGGGCCAGACTTGTATGGTGGGTACAAGTGGGTGGGTGGGGGGTTGCCAGCCTGCGCCTGACTGCCTGCACCTGTTCCAGGGAAGCTACTTGGGAAGTGAGAGCCTGAAGAACCTGGTCCTGCACTTCCTGCAGCAGTAGGTTTCTGGGGCCCCGGCTGGGCGGGAGCTGGTGGGCTCTGGGTGCCTACGGGGGAGCCTGGTGGTGGTGGTGTGGTTACGTGGTCGTTGCTGGAAACTACCAGCCACTTTCCATAAAAAAATCATGGTGTGGAAACCCACAAGAGCTGTTCCCCTCCGTCCTGTGCGTCGCTCTAAGTCCAAATTGACTCCAGGACATAGGCTCCTAACCACAGCACTGGGACTTACCCTCTGGGTCTCCAACAGGTACTATGCAATTTATGACTCTGGAGACCGGCAGGGCCTCTTGGATGCCTACCATGATGGGGCTTGCTGTTCCCTGAGCATTCCCTTCATGCCCCAGAACCCTAGCCGGTGAGTATGCCATCCCTGAGCCTCCTCCGGACCTCAGAGCTCGCAGCTGGTCAAGCCAGCCGCCTGCCTGCCAGCAGCCCCCCCCTCTGACTGCTACCACCCCCTTGGCTTTCCCACAGAAGTAGCTTGTCCGAGTACTTCAAGGATAGCAGGAACGTGAAGAAGCTCAAAGAACCTAGTAAGTGTGTGATACCAACCAAGGGGTGGGGTGTGGGAGGAGGCGGCAAGGGCTGAGGAGCTCAGCCCTGAGCTTGGGCCCCTTTGCCCCACAGGCTTACGGTTCCGGCTGCTAAAGCACACGCGCCTCAACGTGGTCGCCTTCCTCAACGAACTACCCAGAACGCAGCACGACATCAACTCATTCGTGGTAGATATAAGCGCCCAGACGGTGAGCACCTGCTCGGGATCCAGGGATGAGGGTGGGGGTCGAGGTGGGGGGCAGGGGCTACTGAGGGCGGGGCGGCTGGCAGGGCCGAGGTGCTGGCTGGGAAGCCTACATTGACCGCCAGGCTTTTCCTGCAGAGCACGTTGTTGTGTTTCTCCGTCAATGGCGTCTTCAAGGAAGGTGAGTGTTTTCGTTCTTTTCGGAGCCTGCAGAGTGGGCCGTCCCCAGTGCCCACTGCCACCTTCTCATCCTGCCCCAACTGTTTGGGTCTTCTGTCCTGTCCCTGCTGCCTGTGTGGGCTGACCAAAGCCTGGGGAGGAGGCAGCTGTGTCTGTCGGCAAGTTCTGTCACAGCCCACTGGCCCTCAGCATCACGGTCACATGGAGCCTAGCGAGTGCCTTATGAAGCACCGGCTCGGAGGGCTTGACCACTGCTGCGCGCCATGACCCCGGGTCTGCGCCCCCGCCTAAGCCCCTGCTGGAGAAGCACCCACACACGAGCCTGACAGCCTCTGTCCCGTTGTAGTGGACGGCAAGTGTCGGGATTCTCTGCGAGCCTTCTCCAGGACCTTCATCGCCGTCCCCGCCAGCAACTCAGGGTAACTGTTGGGTCCCCGTTGGAGTGTCCCGCCAGAAGTGTAAGGCAGAGGTGGAGGCAGGCCTTGGGGGGTATTTCCAGAACTTCAGAAAGAAGGCCAGCCAAGGTGGGGGTTCAGAGCCATGGCTCCAGAGTGAAATCTTTTCTGGGTTTTCATCCCAACCCAGCGATCTCGGCTTTGGGGAGGCGGGGAGGTTGTCGTATGAAAATGGGCATAACGTATTCACCGTCCACGCTGATTGCGAGGTGTGGTCCATCCAAGAACTGTTTCTGGGTTGTGGAAGATGATCCCACAAAATCTCAGTCGGAGGTTATGGCTGAGGAAGGGGGGAGGGTGGGAGGGCTTATAGGTTCTGAACGTATTTGAGTGCAGGGAGAGTCAGCAGGAATTGTGGGGGGGGGGTGTCTCGAGGTGGGCTGTCCAGTTCTAATGTGCTGCTTATTCCCAAGGCTGTGCATCGTCAACGACGAGCTGTTTGTGCGGAATGCCAGCCCCGAAGAGATCCAAAGAGCTTTCGCCATGCCTGCCCCCACCCCTTCCTCCAGCCCAGTGCCCACCCTCTCCCCTGAGCAACAGGAAATGTTGCAAGCCTTCTCTACCCAGTCCGGCATGAACCTCGAGTGGTCCCAGAAGTGAGTGCCGGGCCTGAGAGGCATGGGGGTAAACTGAAGTAGGGCTAGTGATGCCCAGGGAAGAGCTTCAGAAATCTTGATGGCCGCCTTTTTTGTTGTTTAGAAAAGGCACGGGAACATTTGCCTAAGCCTAACACAAGAGCCAAAATGCAGTCTCCTTCTACATGCTCCCACGCAACCCCCGTGCTCTCCCCCCAAACCTCGCACATTGGTTTTCTCTTCACGTGTGCAAACTACCTCATGCCCCACAGCGATTTCAGATTTCTCTGCTGGACTGGGCGGGCCCTGGCATTCATAATGGTGTGAGAACTTGGGATTGTGGGCCGCAGTTTCGATGGCCTTTGTTACATTGTGGCCTCCCCACTCCAGGTGCCTTCAGGACAACGAGTGGGACTACAGCAGATCAGCACAGGTCTTCACGCAGCTCAAGGTAGGTACCCTGTGGCAGGGGCGGGGCCTGCGACCCTCGAAGAAGGCCATGTAACTGGAGGTGGACGGGCAGGCCCCGCCGCTGGCCGCTGACCTCCCCTTTCCCCCCAGGCTGAAGGCAAGATCCCGGAAGTGGCGTTCATGAAGTGACTCCCGTTCGTTCCCAGAAGCCCTCTGTAAATAGCCCTTGACGTCTTCGTCTGTCTCCTCCCCGGCCACCTTGTGACTGACCTCGGAGGGGTGGCAGCCGCATCCCTCTCCTCCTGCCTTCTGGAAGACTTCCGGGAGATTGAGCCTCAGTGGTGCCAGGAAGCCAAAGCTTACTTTGTAGAACTGACACTAAATTACCCGAAGGACTTAGGTGCTTTGTGTATTGTCCCCAGACTTTTTATGATAAATAAGTGCTATTGTATCCGTGTGCCAAGGGCTGCGTTGCTCGCTTCCTTCTCCCCCACCGGGGGCGCTCGGCCTGCGCCGCGGCTGCCGAGGGGAAGGGGCGGGGC